TCTTTGATTTGAGGAGCCAAGAAGAGAGGCTGCCAGCTGTCCACCCTTGCCAGCTTTATGGTCTCATCGCCCAGCTTGGTGGGAGCAGTAAGCTGCCCAAGGGCCAATTTGTTTCTTAGGGGAGACCCAGCTCACACAAGAGGGAAGTAATTAGGCCTCCCCCTGGGCATCACTAGAGGTACTTTTAAAAACTTTACTTTGGCAACAGAGACCAGAAATTGTTCAGACTGGAAATCATCTGAGCCTCTTGTAATGTGGTGTGTTGAGTTGAGGCCAAGTTAATATTTAGAGGATTATAGAACTCTGGCGAAGATGCCTGTAAAATTACCTCTGGAGTTAAAAGTGACAAATGAAACAGGAATAACCCCTGTATGAGCCCCACCCACTGACCTCCACCCTTCTCCCACAAATACACACATCATTTGCTTGCTTTAGAAGGAAAACAGAAGAGTTTGCTTATCACTGGGAAATGCCTTTGTCTTTGTTTTTGAGGAAATCCTTTTATCATTTAACATTGCATTTTAAAAGCAAGAAGAAAAGTGAAGGACCAGGAACTGTTTACTGTAAACCACAGCTTCCAATCTGTCATTTCTTGACCTTCTAACTCACTGGAAAAAATTTGTCCTGCCTCCCTACCCCCAAACCCTGAGGGTGGCTGGGGATGGCTTGCCGAGCATGCACAACAACGAACAATCCAAGCAGCAACACGCAACAAGAAGAATACCCTGGGACGTGCCCAGGTGGATTGGCACCCAGTGAAAGTTCTGGTGACTCTTTTTTGTCGCCTCTGTTCCCTACAAGTCTTCAGATCACAAAAACAAAGGGATACATATAAGAGAAATTCTTGGTGAGGAAAATTCTACTCATCAGCAACATTCCTCAGCCTCATAACTGGAGATCCGTTCTTTGGTACAGGCATCTTCTCGTGGCTTCTTCTCCTTTCTTATTTTGGCTTTTTGCTCTCTCCTTCCCCCCACATTTCATATTTACCAAATCACAGAGCGTCATCCACATCTCGGATGGGCAGTGCCTCATGGGCATCTGGTAGACCTCAGGAGCCAATGGCAGGGCAGGCTGACCTCAGACACCTAGGTGTTCTCCGTTGCCTCACAGACATTCCAGGGAGCTGGATGTGCCCAGGGCCAGGCAGATGTGAAGGGAGCAAGGACAAGCAGCAGTACAGGTCCTGCCTGCCAATAGCAGGGCTTCATCCTGGTACCATTCCCAGATTTAACAGGTGAAAAGACAGGACAG